GCATTACTTTAAACTAATTATACTGAAGATGATTTATGTTTAGCACTACAGCTTTCTTAGCTCTTTGCCACTGCTCCCATGTTTATAAACGTGTCGTATAAAAAGTTTAAATCCAGATTGATCGAAAAAGAAAACAAGATCTGAAGCCAGAAAGCTTTAGGTTTTACTTACAGTGATGATTCATTTAGCTAGTGGTATAATATGATCTGAGTCATGGAAAAATCACAACCAATTCAATAAGACGTTTTATAGTTTCACTTAGTCAAGAAAAAATATTGAACATTGGCATCAACAAGGATGGCTAACAGACGTTTTTCTTTCATTTCCTTTTATTTCTTAACGACAGCAGGAGGATGAAAATCCAGGAGCTGCTCTTCAGCCTGACAGGACTGTGATCCACTTAACCCTTGTATTATGTTGAAAAAAAAATCACATTGGTTATGTTGCGGGTCATTTTGACCCACCCTGTCTAAATTCACCTAGAACTGTAAAAAAAACTGCAATAAAACAGGAACTTTATTTTCCATTAGAAAAAACATTTAAAACACAGACACACAATAAAGTTTGAATATCCAGAACTATTTGTAAGAACTAGTTAGTAAAAGTTTTCCTTCTTTACAAACACTTTTATTTTTCTCAGATTTTCAATGTTCAACATTTTCAGTGTTGTCCACATGATGGACAGAGTGTAACTGTGTGCTTTCTGCAAATGCACTTCTTGCACTTCTCACAAACGGTGCTTGTTTTAATGTCTTATCGTGAGGGACAGACCTGGCATCTTTTTCGTTTCTTTGCACCTGTATCCACTGGATTCATTGTACATTGGTCAGATGATGCAGACCTGACGTTTTCAATGAGAGCTGCTGCTGCTGGGGATCGAGCTGGTCTGGCTCGCCTCTGGATCTCGGGGGTGACAAGACTTTTTCCCAGTTCTTCCAGGAAAAGCCGACGTCGGTACAGTTTGCCGACATTCCAATGTTGGTTGATTTCAGTCCACAGGACAAAGGCACTGTAAGCTGACACATCCACAATGTTGTAGAAAATCACCAAGGGCCAACGAGCTGTTTTGCGCTGGCAGCTGTATGTTGCTGTGACTTTGTCAAGATTGTCTACTCCTCCTTTGGTGGAGTTGTAGTCCAGGATCATTTGTGGTTTTTTGTCTTCTCTTGTGCTCAGAGATGCATCTGTGTGCATTGTGCTCATGACAAGAACATTTTTGTTTTTCTTTGGGCAGTATGAAACAACTGTTGCTTTCTCGGTGAAAACAAATTTTGAGGAATGTGGAGGTCTTCCCTGCATCTTCAGAATTTCACTGGGAAGTTCTGGTTTATTTTTCCTGATTGTTCCCAACATAGTGAGCTTTCTTTTCTGAAGTTCATCTCCAAGCCAGTATGATGTAAAGAAGTTGTCACAGGTGATGTTATGCCCTTGCAGCCCTTCACTCATCTGCAGCACCACACGCATCCCCTGATTCTTCTCAGATGCCTCTCCAGGTAGCTTTCCGGTGTACACCTGCATATTCCATGCATAGCTAGATTTAGCATCACAAGCTGCCCATATTTTGATGCCATACTTGGCCGGCTTGTTAGGCATATACTGTCGGAAAGGACAGCGGCCCCTGAATGGAACAAGGCGCTCATCTACAGTCACATGGGGACCAGGGTTGTACAACAAAGGTAGAATCTCCACCCATTTATCCCAAACATCTCTGATTGCAGCAAGTTTGTCTCTTTCACAGCGACTGGCTCTGGTTTCACGGTTGTCAAATCGGATCACACGAGATATCTTGTGAAATGTCTCAAGAGACATTGTTGCACGAAAGATCGGCCTTCCATTCTCTTCATTCCATAGACTTGCATTTGCTTCTCCCTTTGACCTGTATACTCCAGCTAATACCAGGATTCCAATATAAGCATGCAAGTCAGTCAGATCCATGGGCTTCCATTTCTGTTGAAATACACACCTCCCCTCCAAGTTAGTCATGTCCAGTATAATCTTTTCTATTGGAGAGGGTATGAAGAGATGAAATGCTGAATGGATATTATCAACTCGTGTGACTGCAAATCTTGTAGGACCAGGTGTCATTTTGATGACATTAGCAGATGACAGTCTGCCTCGACTTCGGTGTGGTGATGTTGACCATTTTATTTTACCATCTTTAGATGTCCATGCCCCCTCTGTAGATGATGATTGCTGCATTCCTTGGTTTTCACTTGATGAAGCGATGACAGAAGACTCCTCTTTAGAATCCTCATCAGAAAATTGGTAGTCTGGATCATCAGTAACATTGTCCTCAGCCTCTGAAAAATCCTCTGTCTCTGAAACATCTTCTTCGTCATTGCTATCCCAGTTAAAAAGCTGAGATAAAGCTTCTTCAGCTGTCAACCTTCTAGAGCTCATTTTTGGTGTGTTGAAATCACATGACATCAGTTACAAGAACAGGGCAGAAAAAGTTTCTCGCGCACACACCTGGGCCTCTGGGTGTGAATGTATATTCAGAAGCAATCACAACATAGCACATCAAAGAGTCATGTTTATTTTTGTTCTGAACAGCTTTTTACTCACATTAAAGTGTGTGGGTCAAAATGACCCGCAACATCATTTTTGTATACAAAAACTGCTAAGACTTCCCAGGACACATCAAAGTGTCCATATTTCTCATACCAGTTCATGACCCCAGATAAGAAAAAGTCATAAAGTTTCATTAAGAAAAATAGAAGATGATCAGCGCTATGGTCAACACAAAAACTGGAACGGGTCAAATTGACCCGTAACATAATAAGAAGGTTAACAGAGGATACTAAATTATACAGACACTGACGCAGAGCAAGTGCTGAATCAGCTGCACAACAGACATGTTTAAAGACTGATAATAAAACATTTGACGCGTGACAACAATTGTTCATAGAATTGTAGGTATTTTTACCTACATTGCTTTTTATATAAAAAATTTGTACCCCAAAACCAAGATATACGGAGTCAAAAAAGCCACAAGATGCAGTGGAATATATACATATTTATATGTGTAAAAATAATTGACGGTTCAACCTTAAACTACAATAATCTTCAATCCAGTCCTTAATTTAATCAATTCTTAATTTCCCCCAAAGCAGCTGGAAAAGTGTCCGTATGTGAAAATGTAATTCATTTTGTAAAAACACGTTCCTTATTTTGTATCCAAAATAATTCTGTTGCAATTGAAATTTAAAGAAGCGGGATAGAATAGCTGTCCTTCCTTTATTTCTAGCCATGTTAGAACAAAAACAGTAACTTTATGCTGATTCAGCCTCATGTTAAGAGTTTAAGACAGCGTTCAAACTTTTGCATCTTAATTTGAATAACAAAGGCTTCCCTGAATATATTGTTAACTGTTTATAATCAAGGCCAGAATACTACGATGTGATTAAGATGAGTTACAGCTGGGAAATAGATTAAATCATTAATTTCATTGTTTGGTCTTTTGTTGCATTTTTGTCTTGACCCTCTATTATAAACACCATCCAGATCAACAGGCTAACTAGACTAACTGCTGACAATCTGCTGCTGTGACAGTCAAAGAGGACCCTAAACATTAAACCCGTTATCAGGCTGCAAAAGTATTACCGCTGTAACTTACATATTGCTGTAGTCTACTGCTCACACTTGGCTGCACATTTTATTTAGTGCCAATAAGCAAAGTTTCGCAACCGTCACTGAATGTGTAGTGATGCTTCAATAAAATTTTTGTTCACAGCGAAACTTTAAACCACAGCCAGGAGAATTGTATTATTGAATTATTGTATAAGTTTGTAGCCAAGTTTAAAGTGGGAGTCAAGGCATGGGTGGAGACTTTTTTCACCCGCACTTCCTGTTAGGAAAATGCTTCTAAAAGAGGCGTCGCCTAGCGGACCGAGAGGCAGTGATAGAACCACCCTACTTGCGCATGCACGAAAGCATTCACTCACTGACTTACCGCTCAGGAGAAAAGACACAGATTCTGCTGCAGCAATCTGGAAGATTTCCTGTTAACTGCAATCATTAGATGAAAAGAGGAGGAGGGCATTTTTTCAAGGAGGCAAGCGGCTCCGAGCGCCAACGTGTTAAATCGCCTGGTGAGTAGTTGAGCAAGGTGGAGGTGCGACTGTCTCACCTGGAGACCAGTGCGGTGCAGCCACGTAGTCATTTGCTGGCGTCATGTTTTTCAGCCACAGCTGATTCTAAATACATTTGGAGCAGAGTTTTTAACCTGAAGATGGAGAAATAATTATGGTTTGGGGCTGAAATATTACATTTAAAGTAAGTTGCACTAAACTGCCACACTAATGATTACACAAGTCTGCAGCACTGTTAGGCACTCATCTATACAGGTTATCAGCAAAAGAAAGTTATTTTTGTGCTTCTGTTTAACAAATGATTTGAAGAGTTTATTTCTAGCTGCAAAGAACACGTGGGACGCACTTACAAGATATTTGCTATGACACTATTTTATTTTCCATTCAGGTTGAAGAAGTCAGCTGGTCGGTGAACCTGGAGGAGTTCAACTTAAAAGTAACTTGCTCAAAGTTAGCAGCTGCTGAACAAATACATCAGTTAAGTAAAGCTAAAGATTATGAATTTTTTCAATGATTGATAAACAATTGGCCTATGAGAAATATTTGTTCTAAATCTGTTTTATTTCCCATAATTTTACTCCACTGCAGTTAGCGCAATTCATCACTGAGAATGCAACAGTGGCACACTATGTCCTCACACTAGGTACAAACATTTAACTTGACCTTCTACCGAAAGGACTTCTACAACTGTAGAACATTTATGTGGCTACTTGTCTTCTCCCTAACAAAATACTTAATAAAAAAATCCAACTGCAGAGCTCATATGCCAACCAACATCCTCCACCTCCCCCACTGACTGGAAAGCAGGCGTGCACACAAGCAGCAAGGCATGGTGAGGAGAGATGTGATTCACATCCATCCAACCTAGTCAGAACACAAATAAACACTCTGACAGAAGCCTGAACTCACAAAGCAGTTGATCATGGAGCAGGAAACTCTTCCTGCCAGGCTCATGTCGAGGAAAAGCAGGACTGTGCCCGGAAGACACACAGCCAACAGAGCAGCAGCACGACCAAAGCACGATGACCCGGCATAACCATCCTTCTCCCAGCCTCGCCAGCTCTCGTCTGATCCAAACGCCTCTGCCTGCCACCCTGCTCCACCCGGTCACTTCTGCATGTTTTCCTCTCTTCAGGATGAACACACCGGCTTCTGTCGCCCAAACCCACACCCCTCCATCACTCTAGGGAGGGGAGGGGGAGCACGCTGGTGTGTGAAGATAGTCCCTGTTACACAACTGAACAACTGAAGAGGATAGTCCATAAAAACGAACAAAGAGCAGCAGTCCAACTGATGAGCGGAGTTAAAGTGAAGGAGAAATCACTGCAGATGTGCCTGCTCGGTTACAATGAGCATTTTGGGGAAGGGGGGGGGGGGGGCTGCTGGAAGAGAAAGCAGCAGAAAGACAGACAGAGCAGAATGCTAAGCTCCACCCTCTGCAAGTAGATCAGCCTCCCTTTCTCACATTCACGTGCTCAGATTTCTCCTCATGGTCTCCCTTTCACTCATTTCTCCTGCCCCACCCCCTCCCTGTTCATCCTTCACTCATAGCTTCTTATATAAATACGTTTCTCACTTGCCAGTAAAGCAGACAGCCAGAAGTTGCTACCTCACATAAGTACCATCCAAATCAGAAAACCACTGCTTACTGAGCTCAGACGCATGCAGCTTATTCTGAAACAACAATAATACAACCTGATCCCAACACAGAGAGGTGAGAAACATCACTTCTGGTTGGTAAAAGCAATCCCATCAATAAACCTTAGGGCTGGTCTCATGCAAAAAGCGAATGAGTGGCTAAGGACAGAGGTGGGAGGGTGCGGAGGAGAGTGAACCTACTGGGGATCTCTGGTGACACAGCGTTCTGCAAAGACTTTCTCTGCCGTCTCTGCACCTGTCTTCAGGGACACATCCTGTGCTGCATCGGGGCATGCAGAACCATCATCTGGTTTTTCATTACAGAAGGTCACAGAATTTGAGGTGTGTATGGTGCACCACCCAACACCCACCAACACCAAGCTGGAGTCGTGACAACCACTCACCTGCATGACCCCCACATTACATAATACCCGCCGTGATGCATAAAGCAGAATGCAGCACTACAAAATGATTATCCTTACTGAACAGGGCTTTTAATGTCATCTTGTCATGGTAGCGCAATACTCATGATACATTTTTGCAGCAATTGAGGCAATTCTCTTACTAGTCCTATTCAACACATCTGATCAAAAAGGCCCATTATAGCAAATGAGAAATTTCTTTAAAGCCTGGAGCGCAATGAGATTTGCGGCCGACTTAGCCAAATCCCTCATCGGGAGCAGAATCATGTACAAAAACAGTGAACGTGAGGGTGAGTTGCATTTCTGTGGTCGTCCAGTCTGACCGGCTCTGCAACAGCATTTTGAGCTGTTTCATGACCCAAATCAGCCTCCAACAGTCTACAAGCACTGCTCGAACACCTATGAGTCCTGTCTGCAATCGACCAATGAAAACAGATCTTTGGGATGCAGCACTAGCAAGACTCCACCTCTCTGAGCTTTGGAGTCGGCATCTGACGCCAAAGCGAGGGTTTTGAAAAAGATGCGTCTTTGAGGACGATGAGCTGACGCAAAAGTTTTAACGGTGGCGCATTCTTTTATCTTTTCAGCTTTGTTTTGGCTAGCGGTCTGCTTGGTGACGTATGCTTTCGGGATGTGCACTCATGATGTAGCGTGTCCTGTTGGAGAGAAACGTCATACAGTCTGCCTCACTGAAATATTTCGCCATAATGTGTCCCACCTTTCTGGAGTTCCCACAGTGTGACACGAACAATCCTGTGTGATGGCCGCAAATCGAACAGTGTGATCCGGCCTTAAAGTAACAATGTGTAGTTTTTACCGATATTCTCTAGAAATATCCATCAAAATTTGGAAAATGAACAAAATGATGTCCAGTTGTTGAAAAATGGTGGGGGCTTTGTACCAGATAACTAAAAATCAGGTCTAAAATGCATGAGGGTGGGTTGAAGTCTCTGGACGACGCCGTATTAGACGCTGCTTCCTTCTAGACGGTTGGGGTTCTGCAATAGTCGATGTCACACTACATGATTGGCTGGACTTTACAACTTTACAATATGAACATGTGTGAAAACATTTAGGCAGTAAGAAACAAAAATTTAAGAAACACCGCTTAACTCTATCCAAAATGCGTGTGAAAGAACCAAATCGAAAAAGAGTTGAAATATATTTTGGCTGAGCGGTATTGCCGTCGTTTGAAGTCATCGGCAGGGGCAAGATTTCGAGCAGATCGGGAAGCAACACCGCCAGAAAACTAGCATCGGCATTGCCTTCTTTTGATGGAATTAACTAAAGGATCATTAAAGTCTGAGGTAGGGCTGCAACTAACGATTATTTTCATAATCGATTAATCTGTCGATTATTTTTTCGATTAATCGGTTTGTTATTGTTTAGCTATTTAACCTATACAAGTGATGAATACATTTTAGTTAAGGAAAAGAAAAACATAAGAGAATTGTGCAGTTGACTGCAATCTATTTTATTGCACATGAACACAGTCAGCAGTGTAAAATGAGCTAAACAGTGCAAAATATCAGTCCAGAATCATTTTTTGGCATCAAAATATAAGAGGTAAATTCCATAAAAAATAATGTAGAATCTAGAATAGAAATTGTAAGTGGTATGCATTGCTGGGGGTGAGTGTCTTGTTCCCCATATAGTTGTCCACCGTTGCTTGTTTTTTTTTCTGCATGAGAAACACAAATAGACTGAAATAAGTACACATATAAAATAAAGCAGCACACACACTACAACACTAAATCAATATTATATTATTTGAATTAATTAACAATATACAGTGATCATTTATTTTGACAAAAATGTGTTGTGTGAGGCGTTTTACGGCATTAGATAGTAAAACAGCCTTTTAATAGTAAAAAAATGACTTTCTGAATTTCTCCTGTATTTAAAAATTGAAAGCATACAACTATGCCGCGTTATATTCACCTGGACACAGCTCGTCTGTATATTTTTCTCCGCGGAGTTGTCCTTTTTTGAATGAGGAACATAGTTATGGGTTTGTGCCGTTTTTCTCTTAACGAGAACATTCTTATAAACAGACGTGCTAAATTTGGCAAGCGCATGATTCACAACACGGAGGAGATTCACGATTGCATCTAGTCAATCAGAAGTAGAACACCGTAGACTGACGCGGCAAAAAAACATGTTTAACATCCACTATAACGAACTCAGCTAAAACACTAAGTCCCAAATTTGATCGACGTGCAGTGATGGACCACTATATTTACCTTGTTTATTTTCTGTTACCGGGCTGGCGCTTCCTCTGCTGCATTTGCCCCCACATGTTTTCGTCTCAAATGTTCACTTAGGGACGTCGTGCTTCCGTGCCATGCTAGATGGTTTTTGCATATTTTGCAGGTCACCCGTCTTTTCATGGCATCTAGAGTGAAGTGCTCCCATACTCGTGAGGTATTTGTCCTGGGTTTCTCTTCAGTATTGTCTCTTCTATTTTTCTTCCGTATTTCTTCTTGTTCCGCCATCTCTCACAGCAAGATGCGCGTCAGTAACGTGTTACGTCATGAAAACCGAGGGCACTTATTGGCTCGTTTCTTCTTCTACGGCTCCACTGGTAGATCAGTGGCTCATTACTGCCACACACTGGCTGCAAATTGAACAGATTGTAACCGATGTCAGATTGTGGTAAAAATAAGACGTTATGCGGTAAAATGTGATTATTAAACAACTAATCGATTACTAAAAAAGTTGTTAACTATTTTAATAATCTGTTATAATGATTAAATCGATTAGTTGTTTCAGCTCTAGTCTGAGGACTCACGCCGAGGTTGCATGCTTTCTACTCCACAAGTAACAACATTTACTATAATGTTTTTTAAAGTAGCGACAGTCACAGTGATAGGGTGTACAACTATCCTAAAATGTATTTATGTACTACCCCCTAGCTGCAAGAAACTGCACAGTGCACAAGATTATTTAAAGAGCAAATTGCAGGTTAAATATTTTTCCTAATTCATATAAAGTGCTGTCCAAAAACACTCGGCAACAAGATGGCGCCAGTGTTTGGCTTAGCCGCAGTCACCGGCCACTTTTTCAAACTTTTCTCCACTAACCTCCTCTTTTCCACCTTGCTCCTGTCTGTGATCCTCTTCAGTAATGTCCCTGCTACCATCTCCTATGATCGCCAGACTCTTTTGTCCTTTCGTTCGTTCATGATTGCCCAAGATGCACCGAGGACGTATCATCCTGTTTGTTTACTTGAGGGCCGCACTGGCCCAGAGCCAAACGACGATCACGAGCTACGCACCTCCAGCGATGTTTGTCCGGTCCCGGGAAAACATCGGAGGAAAAGAGGTAAACGAGAAGGAATCCAGGTGAGAATAAGACTTTTCTTAAAGCGTGGTTTATCTAGTAAACATCTGCGTGATCTTCTAGCTTCTTGTCCTTTGTTTGGTGACCTGAGCGCCACTTCCGCATTCCCGCCAGGCCGCATTGCAGCGCGGTTCACCCTCCAAGTTTTTTAAGGTCGGTTTGTCCTCATTCCTCAGTGGTTTCTCCTTCTGTTCCCTCCATAAGTGGTTTTTATAAACACCGTGGATCTAACCCTGCTAATTTACGTCCACTAACTCCCGCTGTTTCTGTAGTTTGACTCCTCCACCTCACTCAGCATGGCTCTATTAAATACCCTCTCTGTTAACAATAAGTCCTTCCTGCTCAATGATCTAATTCTCTCTAAAAACATGATTTTCTGTTTCTGACTGAAGTTTGGCAGCAAACATCTGATTACAGGTGCTGGCCAGTAAATTAGAATATCATCAAAAGGTTGAAAATATTTCAGTAATTCCATTCAAAACGTGAAACTTGTACATTATATTCATGCAATGCACACAGACCAATGTATTTCCAATGTTCATTACATTTAAATTTGATATTCATAAGTGACAACTAATGAAAACTCCAAATTTGGTATCTCAAAAAATTAGAATATTCTGAAAAGGCTGAATATAGAAGACACCTGCTGCCACTCTAATCAGCTGATTTACTCAAAACACCTGCAAAGGCCTTTAAAAGGTCCCTCAGTCTTGTTTTGAAGGCACCACAATCATGGGGAAGACTTCTGACTTAACAGCTGTCCAAAAGACAATCATTGACACCTTGCACAAGGAGGGCAAGACACAAAAGGTGATTGCTAAAGAAGCTGGCTGTTCGCAGAGCTCTGTGTCCAAGCACATTAACAGACAGGCGAAGGGACGGAAAAAATGTGGTAGAAAAAAGTGTACAAGCTCTAGGGATAACCGCACCCTGCAGAGAATTGTGACGACAAACCCATTCAAAAATGTGGGGGAGATCCACAAAGAGTGGACTGCAGCTGGAGTCAGCGCTTCAAGAACCACCACGAGGAGACTCATGAAAGACATGGGATTCAGGTGTCGCATTCCGTGTGTCAAGCCACTCTTGAACAAGAAACAGCGCAAGAAGCGTCTCGCCTGGGCCAAGGACAAAAAGGACTGGACTGATGCTGAGTGGTCCAAAGTTATGTTTTCTGATGAAAGCAAGTTCTGCATTTCCTTTGGAAATCAAGGACCCAGAGTCTGGAGGAAGAGCGGAGAAGCACAGAATCCACGTTGCATGAGGTCCAGTGTAAAGTTTCCACCGTCAGTGATGGTGTGGGGTGCCATGTCATCTGCCGGTGTTGGCCCACTCTGTTTCCTGAGGTCCAGGGTCAATGCAGCCGTCTACCAGGAAGTTTTAGAGCACTTCATGCTTCCTGCTGCTGACCAACTTTATGGGGATGCAGACTTCACCTTTCAACAGGACTTGGCACCTGCACACAGTGCCAAAACCACCAGCACCTGGTTCAAGGACCATGGTATCCCTGTCCTTGATTGGCCAGCAAACTCGCCTGACCTTAACCCCATAGAAAATCTATGGGGTATTGTGAAGCGGAGGATGCAATACGCTAGACCCAACAATGCAGAGGAGCTGAAGACGACTATCAGAGCAACCTGGGCTCTCATAACACCTGAGCAGTGCCACAGACTGATCGAGTCCATGCCACGCCGCATTACTGCAGTTATTGAGGCAAAAGGAGCCCCGACTAAGTATTGAGTGCTATACATGCACATTCTTTTCATGTTCATTCTTTTCAGTTGGCCAACATTAGAGAAACAAACATTTTTTCATTGGCCTTTAGAATATTCTAATTTTCTGAGATACCAGATTTGATGTTTTCATTGGTTGTCACCTATAAATATCAAATTTAAATGTAATGAACATTGGAAATACATTTGTCTGTGTGCATTGCATGAATATAATGTACAAGTTTCACATTTTGAATGGAATTACTGAAATATTTTCAACCTTTTGATGATATTCTAATTTACTGGCCAGCACCTGTATTCTGGTCTGATTGAACTCTGCCGAGTGGTTATTCTTTTCTTAGCCAGCCCCGGGGTTCTGGCCGTGGTGGAGGCCTAGCTGTTGTTTTCAGAGACCATCTTCCATGTAGCTCTACAACCTCTGGTCACTTTGCTTCCTTTGAACTGCAGCTGATTAAAGTCGGGCGTAAGGACCCGTTCTACTGTGCTGTGGTCTATCGTCCACCTGGTCCAAACAGTTCTTTCCTTCAGGAGTTTAGTGACTTTCTATCCTCCACTGTGAAGCTGTCCAGACTGGTGATTGTTGGTGACTTTAACATCCACGTTGATGATCCCTCTGATCACTTTGCCATGAATTTCTCCAGCCATATGGACACCTTCGGCTTTACCCAGCATGTTTCTGGCCCCATACACACCAGGGGGCACACTCTAGACCTTGATTTTACCCCGAGTCTAAATGCTGACAGTGTTTGTCCTGAGGACGTTTATATTTCAGATCACCATTGCATTTTCTTTAACTTGTAAGTTTCTGCGTCCCCACCTCCTGCTCGCCGCATGGTTAGTTCTCGTTTTCTTAATGAGAGTACAGCTAGCAATTTTTCTGCTGCATTTGATCCACCCTGTTCTTCTGATAATGACCCAGATTCCTTAATTTCTCAGTTTAACCAGCACTGCCTCTCCATTCTGGACAACATCTGTCCTGTCAAAACCAGATCAGTTGTTGCAGTGAACCCTACTCCCTGGTTTACTGACAGCCTTCGCAGCCTGAAGCGCCAATGCAGAAAAATTGAGCGTTTGTGGAAGAAAACCCATCTCCACGTCCATCTGCTGCACCTAAAGGATCTTCTGACATCCTTTAACTCTGCAGTCAGAGACGCCAGGGTTTCCCATTTCTCCAACCTGGAGTCCCAGAGCAAAGGGAACCCCAAGGTGCTGTTTAACACCATCAGCAGCATCGTCTCTCCTGCCACTCCTACAGCCTCCATCCACTCTGTTACAGACTGTGAGAACTTTCTGTCTTTCTTTGTGGACAAAGTCAATAAGGTTAGATCTAGCATCTCTCCTTCAGCCTTATCGCTGCCTCTCCCGACTCCAACCAGGCCCATGATCCTAGATAGCTTTGCTCCTGTTTCTTTGCCTGAGTTAACTAAACTAGTTAACTCTATGATGACCTCTGCATGACCCCTCGACATCTTACCCTCATCTTTGTTTAAAAGTGCTTTTCAGTCCATCGGTTCCAGCGTGCTCTCTATAATTAATGCTTCTCTGGTTTCTGGTCAGGTCCCTGCTTACTTTAAGAACGCTGTAATCCACCCGCTTCTTAAAAAAATGAGTCTCGACCCCTCTCTCCATAGCAGCTTCAGACCCATCTCTAAACTTCCGTTCATCAACAAGATCTTGGAAAAGGTTGTGGCTAAACAACTCACAGCTGCTCTTGATGAACAGAACATCTATGATAGCTTCCAGTCAGGTTTTCATAGAGCTCATTCTACTGAAACAGCTCTTCTTAGGGTCTCTAATGACCTTCTGACCCACAGTGATGCAGGGGACTGTTCTGTTCTGGTCCTGCTGGACCTGACTGCAGCCTTTGACACAGTCAACCATCACCTGCTACTGGAGAGGCTCAGAGACTGGGTAGGCCTATCAGGATCTGCTCTGGAGTGGTTCTCCTCTCATATTTCTGAGTGCTCCTTTTCTGTGGCCGTCTCCAAGTTTAGGTCCTCCACCACCTCCCTTACCCATGGTGTCCCACAAGGTTCTGTGCTGGGGCCTCTGCTCTTCCTCCTCTATCTGCTTCCTCTTCAGCACATCCTGAGCTCCTTCAAAGGAATCTCCTACCATCTTCATGCAGATGACATCCAACTGTACATCTCCTTTAAGCCCCATGAGATGTCTAAGCTGCAGCTGTTACACACCTGCTTAGACTATCAAAACCTGGATGGCTGGGAGCTTTCTTCAGCTGAATGAAGATAAGACTGAAATCCTCATCTGTGCCCCAGACAAGCTGGTTCCCAAAGTCAGAGACTCTCTTGGTCAGCTTGCTTCTCACACCAAACCTTCTGTCAGGAATCTTGGCGTGACCTTTGACCCAGTTCTCACCCTGGATTCTCATGTCAGTTCTCTTGTTCGCTCTTCCTTCTTCCATCTCAGGAACGTTGCTAAGCCGAGTCCCATTCTGTCCCGCTCTGAACTTGAGACAGTTATCCACACCTTCATCTCCTCACGCTTAGACTACTGTAACTCTCTTTTCACGTGTCTGAGCAGAACCTCCCTGAACCGTCTACAGGTGGTTCAGAATGCCTGTGCTCGGCTTCTGACCAAGTCCTCCAAACACATCCACATCACCCCGCTTCTCCTCCAGCTTCACTGGCTGCCAGTCAACTTCAGGGTTCATTTCAAGATCCTGGTTCTGGTCTATAGAGCCTTACATGGACAAGCACCATCTTACATTGGTGATCTTCTTAGTCCCTACACCCCCAGCAGGTCCAGTGATCAAAGCCTACTGGTTGTACAACGCACCAGGCTAAAGACCAAAGTTGACAGATCATTTGCTGCTGTGGCCCCCAGACTCTGGAACTCTCTCCCCCTGAGCCTGAGATCAGTTGACTCAGTGGTCTCCTTCAAAAAGCAGCTGAAGACTCACTCGTTCAAGCTGGCGTTTGTATGACCTTCTTCACCACTCTCTCTTTATTCTGCTCTCCCCACCTATTCCACCTTCCTCAGGATCCACTGATTTCCCTCTTTCCTATTCACATTCTCTCTTAACATTTTTTATTTTTAATCACATTTGCCTATTTTTGCTCATTTTAAATATATTTTTAAACATTTTCTAAATGCCTTTTTATATTTTTACATTTTTTGTTTTTGTGAAGCGCCTCGTGATTTTTATCTTGAGAGGTGCTACAGAAATGATATTTTCTTCTTCTTCTTCTTCTACTAGTTAGTTTAAGCTAACATTTGTAATGAAGTCAATAGAGGGTAAATTGGATTAAATAAATTGCTTAAGAGCCATTTATTTTTATTGTCATTACTTGTGACCCATAGCTGTAATACTCTAATATTATAGAATATCACCTTGCTTGACCTTAGGATGATTAATTAGAAGGTTCTTATTAAACTGCACACAGACGCTATCTAACGGTGTTCTACGTACCCAAGTGGAGATGCCCTTGCGGATCCGAGAGGTCAGGGGGTTGGAGACCCCGGGTACAGAAGTCCGTAGACTAACTCCTAGTACGACCAGGTCGGTCCAGGATCGCTCCAGGTAACACACGTGGACTGGATGAAACCAAGCGTCTCAAAACCACTCTGAAGGAGTGTTGCAAAATCAGCTTTGTTCTGCAGGAAAAATCTCTCGTTGTTCTCGGCTTTGCAGGTGCAAAGGTTTAAGGGTTTGACAGCGTGTCAAACTCCTTCTTTTGAGTTAGAGATCTGCTAAGAGGTGGCCGGCCTCCGCTTGCTCTCCAAACTCTCGTTCTGTCGGATTTTCGGACTGAACAAAGGAGAAGCAGAGCGGCTGGTTTATATAGCCTGCTGTTTATCTATTACCAAAGTTAAAGAATTCTCAGAACGTACACTGTGATGCAGAGCTGCTGAGTCTGTGAAACAAGGTTAGTTTATGTGTAATGCTTCTTAATTTAGCCTTACTTCTTGTCTGGTGTGAGTGACCTAATCCAGTAAACATACTTAGCATCATTGAACAGATTCATGAAACATTTCATCATTTATAATTATACATGGCAATATTTAGTGATTATTAATTGTAAGATCTTCTTTTCTTCAAGGATTATTCTGAAATATAAAATGATTACTTATATTATGAAATCGTCTTTTAGTTTATTTTAGAAGTTCTCTTTTGAGGAACCTTGGGGAAAGGAATGCTACTGTTCATCTTTATTATCTGATGAAGCTTCAGTTCAGCTGATGAAGTAATCTGATTAAAGAGCCTGCGTGCAGACATTCCATCTCCTGTCAGGGTAAAATACAGCAGAATGTGTGTAGCCAGGGTTATTTGCTCTGGCACATTGTTAACTCACAAGACGCCTGCTGCTTAATGAGAGTCTCCAACTTGCAATTTGCTGTTTAAGGTTAAGCTAGATGGTTTCTGCTGCTTTAATTAATATTGTTTAAGAGCACTTTTAGGACTGAAGCGTAATATTTTTATTCAGTTTTACCTATGATCTGCAAAATATATACATAGTCTCAGAATGTATAATAATTTAAAGCAGAGATGGGAGTTGTGGCTTCAACAAGTCATCTCTATGCCATGTTTTTGTTCTGCTCAGCAACTTAACAAGATTCATTGTCTGTGCTGCTGATTGAAGTTACCTGGTTTAGTTGCTGAGCTGAAGAAAAACATGGCATGGAGATGAGTTGTTAATGCTACAATTCCCCATCTCTGATTTAAAGCCCAGGGCATCAACCACACTAACAAACAGATGCATGTGTATTTTGTGCGTTGGAATGATTTAATGCATTGTGTGGTATTTACCATTCTGCACTTGTCAGTAGAAATGTACCTAAATAAAAGAACAGTTCTGACCATGCGTACAAACAGCATCTAGTGGTAGAATGGGGAACTGCAATACTGAAGGTCTCAGCCAACCACGCATGTTCCTCATCCAGAAAATATTTTTACCCAATAACTATGTCAGTGGAAAAACAGCTTTATCACATAGTGTTAGAAACTATAAAACACACCTGTGACCTGTCAAAAGGAAGGATCCTTCTGGAGCTACACCATGCTTTGGGTCTTTTTGTGGAGCGACAGTCAAATAGCACAAATCCGATTACAGTCCCCATTTAAAAGTTTGACAGCTATGAGACCCCTCCACCAAACATACACTTGCTGGTATTCCTGATTTTCGCAGCACAAATCTTCTCACTGGTGTTCTGCTTACCTTAGAAAAATGCACCCAAACTTGGGGTATTTTTTTTTATTTTTTAGCATTTTCATCCGCGAACTGCAGAGAAGTGTTGTTGAAAGGAGATGCGTCTCTTCCACTCATAACGTCACTCAGGATCAGTCATGTGACCCGCGGTGGCACATTTTAACATCTTTTCTGATATCGGTACCTATCGAATGTTTTCCCAAAGAGGTCCAGAGTTCTGGCACCCAGCCCTAGGAGTCAGTCAACCTTTCTATGGCTGAGATTTTACGTGTTTTTCCTCTGCTGAAGCTCTGTGTGGTCTGTGTTATGTTTACCGTTTTGCATCACTGCTGTAGCGTGGGAACTGAATACATCATGCGTTCAGAGAATTTTGACCTGAGGCTGCACTGCGTTCTCAATTATTGGTTCTGCCACTCTTTATTTATGCTACATTAATTAATACAAATTATTGTTTGTGACAAATGAAACTCCAGAGGACAAATACAGTACAGATAACTTACATTCAGCATAAAGTTTAGGACCCAGTTGTCAAAATTCAAGACTAAGACTTAAGGTATCATTTCCAGATTCCTAAATTCAATGCTTTTAGGACTTTAAGACCCCGCATGAACCCTGACAAATCAGGATTTTTCCCGTTTGTTCGAACATTCTAAACTTCACTCGTAGGAAGGAATACGACATTTTCTATGAACATTTAATAAATGAGGGCCCAGAAGTCTAGAAGGCTTACTTAAATGTGAAGTCTTTCACAAAATGTCCATGTAAATAAAGAAAAAAATGCTTTAAATACAAATGAAATTAAATAAACAAATCTGTTCAGTGTAAAACGACCCTTTTGCTGCAACCAATTAATTTTTATCCATTCTAGGTCTCTGATGGATCTTTGAACTCTAAGCACAAAGATTTTCATGCAGTTGGAATGTAACTCGCTGTCCCACTTTCTCTGAGGTGCAGCGACGTATCAAATGGGACACACTAAACAAATCGGAAATTCTTGCGTGGATAACAGCAAAGAGCTCATTAGGTAAACAGAGCAGTAAAGCTGACGACAAACGCATGACTAGAGATGAAAAAAACTTGCCAAAATCTGTTTAATTACATTTGTTTTAATAATAACTGTTTACATATTTAAATAAACACTCTAGACTAACTTTTCTTTTAAGTAAAAAAAAAAAAATTCCTATTCTTTTGTAAAGAAAATGGTAAATGAGTACAAAAGTTGATTCCTCTTATAAACCATTTATTTGTCCCATTTAGGGACTCATTTATTTAGAAAGATTCAGATAGTGTAAAATGCTGTAAAACAACAATTTACTTCCTCAAAAAATAAATAAAATAAAAGACAGACAACGGGACACCCAGTAGTTGGAATGCACGTTTTCCAATATTTCTTTAACCGGTTACTGATACCCCTCAACAGTTAATAGCCGGTTAACTGGAAACCAACTCACCCTAACCCTACTCTTTACACTTTTCCTTATTCTTTTAGACAGATTAGAAGACGGACGCAAGCAGGAACGTCATGGCAGACTGATCTGCTGTTGCCGGTTTCGCTTCAGTTTGTTGTGCCATGTTCTGCCAGGCTCAGCGCTGTGATGCGAACCTTATTGTGTTCCAAGAACGAAATAACTAAGAATAAACGGCTCCCATGCTGTGCTCTTTGCTAACCGCTACATGGTTTGAGCACATTTGTTTGGTCATGTGACGAGCTTATTTCTTCTTCTGTGGTTGCCCAGTAAACATTTTGATAATGACGCTCTTGCACCCTCTAGTGGCACAAAATATGTTACATCCAAGTACAGCAGAAGGACTTGAAGCAATTAACCGGGCAAAACTATTTTAATCAGTTTCAGCATTAACAGAAATGAACCGGTTAACTATGTATATCCCTACCCAGTGGTTTAAGGAAGACAACTCAGCAGACGTAAAAGTGCCGGAAGTCACAGAAACTGTTCATGCAGACATGCATATTCAGCTCGGTCCCACAATAGTGAGCACCAGGCTTTTTGCCTTGTGTGTCTCAGGAGTTAGTTTGGGAAAACAGTGCAGCAAGTCTCCATCGTAGGGTGTCTGAGTACGTGTCTACACTCAACTGTGGGGTTGAGTGTCTATGTGGAAGTAAAATATTAGAAATTATCTACGCTGTAGTTATGTGTGCAAGTAATGCACAAGTACAAGTTGAAGCAAAAGTTATCCAGCAAAGTTGATACTTTGACACTAGATAGAGACAATAAGGAAAGCTTTACACCTCAAATGGCCAAAAAATATTTAATAAAAAAAATCCAAACAAAAACATACATACCAGAAATACAAATGTAATAACAGTTTTAAAAGAATTAAAATTAGCAGGCAACCAGAAACTTTACAGACAATAAGGTCAAATTTTGATGGAAGCAAAGGTCTCTTCAAGCAGAGTTGCTGTCAAATCATTAACAGAGACCTAAACTGAACCCTCAGGCTTCAATTACAACAGCTACCAGTCACCCGTGTTAAGAAGAAAAACAAACCACATCCAAGTGACTTAATCCTTTAGAAACAAGGGGAACAGTGGCCTAAAACATCCATGTCTGTATGGTTCTGGTGCATTAACTCCTCTCACTGACTCACAGTACAAGGTAGCATTACAACACAGAGCAGGAGCCGAGAGTAATAACAACCTTAATTGTTTCCATGCTCATTTTATCCTGCTAACAAACGCACAGCCTGAATGGACAACGGTGTGAACGTGATACTTTCCAGCTTAAGTGAAGGGGAAAAAAAGCTCGAGGCTGGTAAGCAATTAAAATGTGCCTCAGAAAAAGAGATTACGGGGATTGTGTTACCTCAAGTCACACAAACCCACCTGGGAATGTCACCTTTAAAGCTGCAGACAGCCAGAAACATTATTAGCTGTGGCCATTTGGACCAATTGATGTAGATTTACACCAAAAAGTCACACTATTTGCAATTTTAGATGAACAAATGCAATCAGTGTGAATGGATCTGATAATTATACTTAAAATGTTAAATGTTGCTCTGGCTGATCTGCTGTGAATGAAGTAATTCAGTGTGTGTTCAGAGCACCTGACCTTTCCGTTTGAGCTTGATTTCACATGCTGAGCAGAACTGTGACCACACCCAAACACACCCACCTTCAACACACCAAGCAGTGCCAGGTAAGTGATATGATCCGGGCTTTGCAGGACTACTACAAACTGCGCCCATTAAAAGGCTGAGAGCTGGGAAACCAGCCACTGTGGCATTCATTGGACCTAGCTGACCAGACCTTCAAGACACATTGGGTGTGTCCAAATCCATGGGAAGGATGCTTGTAAAAGTGCGATGACGTCACAGCGCAGCGACGAGTACTGTCCGAATTCCAAGAATACTCATTCTCACGTCCTCAAACGCGTCCTCACTCCGCCCACATTTCGAGGACGGGTCTGTTGTCTCCTCACAGAACAAGGCTATCCCAGCATGCTTTGCGCGCCGGCTGTGGATTTTCAACAGGCAGAGAAAATGGGGAGAGCTACAACGTTTTAAACGTAAGTTTGTTAAAAGCTAGCCATAGAAACCTTAAAAGCTTAAAGTGGTTCAGTTTATAGGCATTTTTCGTTTGTATATTTGTTTTTTAAATTACATTTTAGCAGAAATCAGCCAGAGCGAGTTTGTATCGCGGGTCCCAGTTATTCCCGTGTGTGCGTGTGTGTGTAGCGAATTAAACTTGTCATTTGTTTTAAGGACAACGGAGCAAAGAAGTATTTTTATTAAGCTTAGAGGTGAAGAGTTTACACACAGCCACAGAAGTTTTTCTGTGAAAAGTAGTTTTACATTCAGGGATTTACACAGCTGACACGTTTTAATGAAGTAAAAATAGTTTGTGTGAAGAATAGAATTTTTATCTTCTCATGTGGATAAATGTAAAAAAGTGTTTATTGCCTTTTTGTCACCTGTGATCTGATTTTCTCTGTAGGACTGCAGGTGTCCAGGGTCAGGAGAGGCTTTACCTGGTGGTCATCCTGGGAGAGAGGCCTTCTACTGTCATCATGCTAATGTTATTTAGCTGTTTGATATTTGAACACATTTATTAAAACAAATACTAATAACTTTCTGGTCATTGATTTTATCACCAGTTTTATTATTACAGATGTTTTTTGAACATGTTACATGAACAGAAAATGAAAAGATGATAAGGAGACAAGATTATTTATAATAGGTTACACTTATTTACATATTGAAACCAGAATGGACCAGTTTTGTATGGTTAAAGCAGGATTAACCTGAGTGACTCTTCCTGGATCATTTATTTAAACTGAGTGAGCAGGAAGTCTTTAACAGTGCAGCTGGATATGCTGCAGGAGGATCCAGACGTGGATGGAGGGCTGGAGCAGACCCGTGGCTGGACGTTTCTGGTCAGAGGAACATCATACAGGACGGTCTGCAGAGAGAGCTTTGGGACGCTTCCTCTCACTGTCCACTCCATCGTCCATCTACAGGGACCGCTGGGCTGGCTCAGACGACGGCTGTTACATCTCTGAATGACTTGCCTGTTAACAGTAGTGGTGGTTTGCTGGTACCTCCTCTAGGACAGAGCACCACTGACCTCCTCCACACACATCTTCCTCAGGCTCATCCTCCAGACCCACAACTTCACCAGCACCGATGCAGATGTTCAGCACAGTGCATGCTGACCTGTAATAGATTAAATAAAAGTTTGTTTGTTTTTTTTAATACAAAAATATGAAACAAAACAAATAACCTGCAGTACACTGGTTCTGTTCAGTTTAAAGAAAAGCAGCAGGGAATAGTTAAATAAAAACTACAGAGAATTTACATTTTTAAGACAGATCTAATCATTATTAGGCTTAAGTTGAATAAACAAATGCACATTGAAAACAGTTCAATGCTATTTTATTAAAAAGCCTGTTTTTTAAAACGTTTTACCCTCATTTGATGCAAAATAAGTTCTACGGTCCAATTTACATTAGAAAACATCCTACTGCATTCAACATTTATAATGCATTTGGTTTATATTAATTACCTACATGTTAATACTCTGTAGTAATGTGTTGTGTACGTTTAACAAGTTCATTCTGTAGCTTAAAACATACATGAAACCATCTAAAGTTAACACTTAAGTCCTGAAAGCTTCTAGAGTAAACAAAGTTACTTTACCTGAAAACGGTTGTGAACAAACGCTGCTGATGGACGTGAAGCTGCTGTAGCTCCTTAATATTCCTGCTCCATTTTCACTAGCTTTAGCATTTTTCCTTTGCATGTAGCTGCCGCCACGGCTGTGACGGGACCTACGGGCCACCGTAGAGGTGAAGGCTAGACTGTCCGAATTCAGAGCCGCTGACTTCCGGTTTCAGCGGTCTTAACAGACCGGCGAGGACCTGTACTCATAAGCATCCTTCCTGTGGATTCGGACACACCCTTAGCCTCCTGTTACACTTCCTGTTCTATAAAATCTGTCTTTTAGTTTCAAAGGAACTAGATAGACTAGCGTGTTCACCACTTCTCTTTTCAAATAAAATGTCTCAGACTAAAGATTGAGAAATATCGTCCAAACAGACCTTCAGCTGCTCAGAATTCTTACAAATATCTCAGCGCTAAGGAGCTATTTCCTAAATGCACATCGAATAAGATCTCACTTATAACTTATGCTAAACTGTAATAATATAATATGTATTGGAATTCATAGTCTGAGAAGTGCATTATGCAAGTGAATGTTTTCAAAGCTCTGAAAATGCAGTCAAACACATATTTGGTATGCTGATTAGATTAAGGTAAAACTGAAAGTTGATTTATCCAACTTGAAATGAAAGAAGGGCAGTAAGTTTAAACTAAAATTATATTACCATGAACATTTTCACATAAAAATAACACATTGTATCTGAATTTTGTAAAAATGACCAATGTCCTTCACTTGAAGGACGGTAGTTAAGTCTAGTAGCAGACAACAGGCTTGGTCTTCTGTGATTCAATGCTGCTAATTTATTTTAATATATCCTTGAACATTCACATCTTCCTAGGGAGCAGTTATTGCTGATACATTTCACATTTGATATTTTAGTTTCTTCATATAAACGGGAGTTCAGCCTCATTAAAAGGCACCAACTGATCCAGGATCATATTCTAAACTAGTATTCAACAATTCAAGAGGCATCCCCTGCAGAGCGGGCAGGAACCTTAAGGAATGAGAAGCCGCTGGTGAAGCAATAATTATATCATCAGTAATTATTATTCCACAATAAAGCTATATTCAAAGAAGATTGAGCTAATGTTATGTTTGAATAATATGTAATATAGTGATGTGTCGGTCGTGAACAAACCGGCTCTAGGAGCCGGCTCTTTGAAGTGAACGAGGGGAGCCGGCTGTCATTGGGAGCCATCCCCTCCCCTCTTGCTTTGGTGAAAGCTACAGGCGATTGGTCAACATGTGTGACTGCGTGTCCAGACTGTCCACACACAGAGCAGTAGGGGCGTGGAAGAGGGAGGATTAGACTCAGACACACAGCAGAGCACATGCGGGTGGAGGGAGAAAAGAGGGAATGAGGAGGAAAAAGGCAAGCGAGAGAGGAGAGTGCGACGAAGACGGTGAGAAAATGAACGCCAGCAGTCGGAAAGTGAAAATTTCTTTAAGTGCTCAGTTATTAAATCCTTATAAATGATAAATATTTGATATATTGCATTTTTCTACAGCAGTAAATCATTTTACATATAGTTTTGCATTATTTTGGTTATAAATGTACTTTACGCAACAGAAAATCTGAGGAGCCACTTGGGAGCCGGCTCTTTTTGGTGAGCTGAGCCAAAAGAACCGGCTCTCTAAAAAGAGCCATAATTCCCATCACTAATGTAATAAGCGCCTTATTTTAAATTTGCATGCAACTCTTTGCACCTAGTTTAGACTTGCAGTGGCACTTTGTTATTTTACTATTAAATGAATGTTTTAACTTGCAGTTTCATTTTCTAGGAAGTATGTAGAAGAAAAATGAATCAGATATGTCCAGCAGAGTTTGTATTAACATAAAAATCCCCTCCTCATCGTTCGATTGGCTCACCATGCTGCCAGCCCCTGGTGTAGACAGTGACGCTGGGAGCTCCTCTTCAGATCCCTCCCTCCCTCTCCTCCCGTCTCCTGGGCTTTGTCGTGCCACCAATAAATCCTGTAAAGATAAAAAAAATAAAAACACACTACCTTCAGACTTGTGAGTGTGGGCGGCTGTGAAGTATGAGCAAGTGCTTAGATCCCAAAGCTTCTTGGTTCAAGGTACAGCACACAGAAAGGAAGCTGGAACTGAAACAATAAAGCTGCCAAGTTTAATGAATGTGCATTTATTTTACAGAAAAAAACAACAACAACAAAAAAACTACAAAATTCTTATAAATGTGTGAGAAGTAAAGCTTTGATGCTTTAACTGGGTGCCTGAACACAGACTGTTCTCAGTAAATGAGGTCAAGGCAGAGTAAAAACACAGCAGCACACATGCAGCGCTGCAAGCAGACATGCAGGAACGTGTCAGCCGTGTACTCTGACACAACTATAGTGACACTAGAACAGATCAGCTGACTTAACTGGAGACTCCCCGATTCATAGGAAATGCCAACTCAACATTCCCCATCAGATTACCAGCAGACACAACATTCAGGATAGCTTTTCTCCACACTTATATAAAAATATTTTTAAAAAGTTAGGGTTAGGGTTAGATCAAGATCTTAACACTGTAATGATAAATAAGTTTCTAAAATCAGTGTCACCAAAATGATCATAAATTGGCTTTAAGGTGTTCATCTAAAACTAAACACTGATCATTCTTTCTTCTTGTGACTTTATAAGCTCAGTCAGGAGGGAGAAGTGTGCTCAGTTAACGTTTAAAATGAAAATAAAACTTTTCAGCTGCTATCAGACAAAACATGGACAGTTTCACATCCTGAGGTTTAAAGATCAGACTAAACAAGAAGCTGAAGGACAATGTGAAACAGCATAGGTTTTGACTGTGAAGGGCTGTCTTCTTGTTTCTCACCACGTAGTTTTCCACCCCAGACACACCCCCTTTTGCACACCACTCTACAAAATACAATGAACACGTACTCAGCTCACAAAATCCTCTTTTGAAAGTTTACTCATCTTACCTCTGCGGAAAGCTGAAACAAACTTCTTATTAAAACTTCTTCACTTTTAAAAGCTGAATTAAGGCTCTGTGTTTTGCTAAGTCCCAGTAGCAGCCGTCTCCTAAACACGGACGGGTTGTAATCCAGAGCATGATGAACTCCCCCTCCCTTTGCGTTGTTCCCTCCCACTTTGCTTTGCACTTCTATGAAAGAAATGTTACTACAGGGCACTGACTGCAACCTATTACCCACCTTCAGCAAGCCAATAGTTTATCAGAAGGCATAGATATCTGATCAATCATACAGAAATATTACAGCATACATGCAACTAGCAATTACTGTTTTATGACTAGTTAGTTTCTAACATTTGTTTGGAGTGGGTCATTTAAAGTCTTGTTGTTGAAAGAAAAAAGGACTCAGAAAACAAGCTAATCTAGACGTTTGATTAACCTAAACAGAAGAACTTTAAGTTTTTAAGCAGAAAACAGATCTACAGAGAATAAAAGTATATTTTTAGCCAGTTTGTTACTAGGTAAAAGTTAAAAATAGTTAACTGCTGTTAAAAGCCTTCTAAAAACTGTTTACATTGAGCAAGATTGATAAGCAATTGGCTAGTTTAAGTGCAGCCATGACCAAAGTGTCCTGTCATCTTCAAACAGCTCCTACTGCCAAACTTTCATAGAAGTTGTGAGATCATTTCATAAACTTTTCACACCATAAAACCAATCCAATGGTTATTTACAATAGCAAATCTCACCAACAGCAGCAAAATGTACAATTTTTGGTGCATTTAATATTTCTTTTAAATGTCTGAGCAATGTTGAATTGACAGCTGTTTGAAAAGTTTAAAATAAATATAATTTGCATGACCTGCTGTGAACCGTGGTTTTCTGACACCCCCCAAATAAAAAAAAAACTGAGCACAATCCAGAGTGGCCTTTTATTGTGGCCGGTCCATGGCACACCTGTGCAATTTTCATGCTGTATAATCAGCACCTTGATACGCCACACCTTTGAAGTGGGAGGGATTTTCTAAGCAAAGAAGCACTCACTAACACAGATTTAGACAGATTTGTAAACAATATTTGAGTGTAATTGGTCTGTTGTGAATATGGAAAAGGTTTCAGATAATTATTGTTCCTATTGTGTTTTATTTTCCTGCTATTTTTTAACTGCTTTAAAGGGACTTTACGGAGTTTTGAATTTTTATGCTCGCGATTGCCCCCTCAGGCCAAAAGCGTAACGGCAGCTTCAATAGTAGGCTTGTGCACGAGGCGCGCATGCTGTACGTGCACACTCCTTAACAAAAATACCGTGTGTGTGTGTGTGTGTGTGTGTGTGTGTGGCCCAGAGGACAGGAGAACTAATTAATTAATTAAATAATTTGGTTCTGTACCTTTCTCTTCAGCACAGCTGACAAAGGTTTATGATGGGTCAGTCTTCCTGCATGCTCAGATCATTCCCTTCCCTTGCTTGAAAAACTTCCAAAATGAAAGTTGAACCCACATCTTTTTTTTTATCTGTGAATTCAATGCCGTTCAGCGAGTCTCAAATAAAAATTTGGGCATCTTACTGTAAAAAAATACCAATAATGTAAAAAAGAAACTCTAAACAAACTATGTTCACACCCAGAATCGAACCCAGGTCTCCTGCACGAGAGTCCAACGTCTAACTAGTTGAGCTACAGCACCAGTGACGTCTTTGGCATCTGTAATATTTATATCCTTGATTAAAGCTAAAACAATGTTCAAAGAATGGTTCGGCGCGAAAATGGCTATTTAGTTGCTAATTTGCAGGAAATATCTAGAAGAAAGTAGCTAAGGGTCCTCAGAAATGTAGCTAGGTTCATCACTAGGCGTTAGGAACAGCGACAAAGTCACTGAGTTGGCACTACCTTTCTCTGCTGCTAAAGCTACTGATAGCAAATGCTACGGGCTATGCCTGAGCGTGAATGCGCATGAAGCAGCCTGCTCGACCCGAGCAGCTCACGTTTTGTGATTTTACAGAAAAACAGGCAATCACAGTAAAAATGCCAGGGCTCATTCTACAGGACCAGGGCATTGCAGGAGAATGTATGAAGAAGAAATTTATTATTTCTATACGTTTTGACTGTCAAAACTTCCATAATGCCCCTCTAATTCTCTAATCATTATTTTTTATGAATTTATCTATTTTTACTGTTCAC